ATGTGTGTTCAATTTTGACTCTTAGTGTTTCCACCTGGGTAATTGTTTGCTAATTGAGCTCAAGCTGTGCTGACCTGAGTGAACAGTATTGAATGCTAGAGCTTTCTAAATGACCACATCGTGTAAGCACTGAGAAATGTAGGGATTTGTGTGTAGAGTTTTGCAGTAACAGTTCACCAAATCTGACTCATGTGTTAAAGCAGGGGAATAGTGTTTATAGTTCAGCAAAATGGGTGTGCTTTTTGAAAAATGACGTTATGGTTTTGAAATTTTAGTTCCAAAGCCTGGTTATAGTGTTTTAGCAATTGAGAAAAACCGTAATACTCTATACCTATTTTAACTAAAAATTATGCATCAATCCAATTAACCAAGTTTACATCATGTACTACTATAAAAAACAAACTAAATATAGTAATAGAAAACGGCATTGAGATGTATTTACTCACCCTGGTGTTGTTCTAATGCCACATGTGACCACAAAAGGATTTTTAAAAATGTCATCCATATAAGTAAACAGTGACCAGCTTCAAAAAGAGTGCAAAATGAATGCAACGATTGAATTTTGAGTTTTAGGTGAACTATCCCTTTCAGCATAACAAACCACAAAAAATAATCAAGCAAGTCTTTGGTTGTTTTGTTCAGCGCTAGTTACTTGATCTAAGAACATTTGTTACAGTGCACTGAAAAATTATTTTGTGGCCTAGTTTGCCTCGTCCCAGCATGCACCAGTGCATTGAATTTTGAAAATGGTTGCATTGTTTGATTATTTTCTACTTTTATTTACATTTGCGCTTAACTTTGTTGTCATGGTAGCGTATTGACAAGATGTGTTTGTTTCTTTACTCAAAATCATCTGTTTTGTGGCTCAGTTGACTGTTACCCCTGTCATGGTTCATGAGGTCTGTGTGTGGAATTTTAATGTCTTTGGTCTCATGAGTATCACGTGATGAAGCATTTCTCATAGAGGAGAACTTATATACGCACATCAGACTGAGAAAATACAGAACAATGTAAAGTTGTGTTTTTCCATTGACATCACCAGTGGATAATCCAGCATGTGTGTGTGTGTGTGTGTGTGTCAGGTAACTCATGCACCAAAGCTGGAGCAGCAGGGTCAGCTCTTTGGCCAGTTTGACGAAAAGGCTTTTCTATCCAGTAAGCAGCTGAAAGCAGGTGAGGATCCGTACAGAGAGCATGCGTTCAACCTGCAGGAGAGCGACCGGCTCGGGAGCGATCGCACCATCAGAGACACACGCCACTATCGGTAAGATAGTCATTTAATTAAGCATTCAGCTAGCAGTAGTAGTGTAGTACTTTCAATTCTGTTTAACATATTTTACCATGTGTAAATCCATTTCTGGTGATCCTGCCATTGTGTGCTCACTGCTCAGCCATGACAAAGAAAGCCCTGACTCGCCCTGTCTGTGTTTGCTGCATTCACAGATGTGCCTCCATGACCTTTGACCCTGACCTGCCACCCACCAGCATCATCATCACTTTTCACAATGAGGCGCGCTCCACCCTGCTGCGCACTATTAAAAGGTAACAGCCTACACTGCAGAGTTTTCTAGAGCTGTACTGGACCCACTGACATTCAGCAAGAACCTGCAACTGTTACCTTAAAGAGCTGTTTCGGATTCAGCCCAAAATGTATCTTCGGCTTGAATAAAAACTGTTAATATGGATGTTTCCATTTTTAGGTTACAATTTTCAATGTAGCTCAAATTGGCTTTCTACGTAGTACATCAGAAATTACAGTTTAAGGGCCGAATTTCCAACAGCTTGTGCCAGCGCAAACCCTCTCTTGGTGTTAAAAAACTGAAGACACACAGAGAAACATTAGTGATGTTAAGGCACAGACAGTCTTTTTTGCGGCTGGCCTTATTGCATATGCATTTGTAGGAGTTTTCCATTCAGACACAAAATTTATGGAAGGAGAGTCTTCAAATAAACCTTGCTAGGTGATTTACTAAGGGTACTGGTATTTGCACCATTAGCTAACGTGCAAATGTCTTAACCCACCTTGTGCTGTGCTGTTGGTAGATTACACGCATCTGATTATCATCAGCTCTGTTTGTTTGTGACCCTACGCATGTTTGCGCTTCTCTTGCATTGGTTTTTATGGAAATGACCTGGCTGCTTTTGTGTTTTTTAATTTGTAGATCACCCGCAGAACTTTCCACTCCCCTCTGTGCTTTTATGGGTTTGTGGTCTCATGCGAATTTACCCTGTTTAGTAAATCTGGCCCTAAGTGCCACAGTGTGCTGTTTGTGGCTGATAGTGTGGTGTAGGGCTGTCAAAATGGCTGAAAAACTAAATTCGAATTTTGTACTTAAATATTATCAAAATTCGAATTATATTCAAATTTAAAATGCATATTTTCAGTTAGGGTGAAGAAAAGCTTTTGGATTCTCTTCTGAGACCTCAAGAGGGCGCATCGAGCAAAATATTACTAATGCACATTTCTTCAAAGCATAAGATAACAAGACTATCTGTGAAAAAAGTGCATAAGGTTTGAAATAATGTTTATAAACCAATTATAATTAATTAAGTTGCTTAAACAACTATAAACAAAACAGCATCATGTATGTATGCATAGTTTAAAGAGGTCATATGATGACTTTCTCTTTGGAGTGTTACAAGCTGTTCGTGAATAGATAAGATCCCTAAAGTTGCAAAGACTAAAGTCTCAAACCCAAAGAGATATTCTTTATAAAAGTTAAGACTCGACCACGCCTTCCTAAAACGGCTCGTTTAAACACGTCTACGTCACTGTGTGGGAAGATTTGCATAACGCCACCCAAATGTTCACGCAAAGAAAGAAGGCGTAACTTT